TACATCAGTGGGGAACTATTAATTTCACCCTTCAGATTTGTGTATATTTTGGCTTCAGTAACTTCTGTTCTAAAGCTCTGTATGTTATTGTTTCTTTGTAGGTAAAAGGAGGCATTGAGACTACCTTAGAGAAAGAAGTCCTACAATATAACTACTCTTCTTCATATTTTGATATATTTGTAAGTGTTCTTTAAAAAAAAACAAACAGCAAAAGGATAGTTTTCCCACATTCCTCCTTCCACAGATGTTCCCTAGTTTGTCCTGCGAAAGGGATGATTTTTTTTTTTAATAATTTAAACAGAAAGGACTTGTGCCAAATTTCAGCTGCTTAGAGGTTGCCCAGTCCTGCTTTGGCAGCAGGCTCATGGAGCCTCGAAAGAGATGCTTAGGCACACTTAAACTGCATCTTCTGCTTTAGGGAGCATGAAAAAGCAGATAAAGAACTCAGTCAAGAATGTGAGACTGATGTAACATAAAGATAATTCATTAAGAGGACAAAACCAGTAGTCCTCCAGCTGTAAAATCATTTTGTTTAAACCAGCATTTTTGTCCTTCCACAGAGATAAGTCAGTTACAGTGAGGAGAGACTTGTTCCCAGGTTGGCCTGTATAGGTCAGGTTTTTTTCAGATTTCTGTGTTTTAACTCAAACAGGGTTTTTTAACATTGTACTAAAAACAGGTGACATGAAGTATGATTCTCCTTTACTAGGTATAAGCACCTTAGGCAGATGGGAGGAACTCTGCTGCATTAGGAAATGTCTCTGTCTTTCAGCAGCGCTGTAGCTCTGTGGTTGCAATGCATTTTGCACTGCACGGACCACATTGCTGATCTTGAAGTAAAAGCTGTTTCTTTACGGTTCTTCTGAAGGGCCCTGTGTTTTTGCAAGATCATTAATTCTACCAGATCTTGTTTGCCTGGCAGAGATGAGTTGGTTTGGTATCAGTCATTTCATATTGATGACGATATCCAGAATCTAGTTCTGAAACTGATGTAAATACCCATCCTTGCTTCTGCATTGGACCATTTGCTGTGTCAAATGGAATGAGGTACCGGATACAAAAATTTCATAAGCTAGCAAACTATGCTACTTCTCCCTTTTTCTCTCATTATTTGGCTGGTAGATTCTCCATGATACACCTTACTGCAGAAAGCAAGAAATGTTATCTGGAAATGTGAATGCTCTGGAAATTATTTTGCACTGTAGTTGAACCAAGGGTTAAAAACATGTAGTGCAAAATAATAGACTTTTATTCCCTGGGAAGGGACTAGGTCACTGAATTCTGCAAAATGATTTTTGGGCTTATACAGGATTTCTTCTGTTTCTAGTACACATCACTGGAACATCTGTATTTGCATAAGATTAAATGGGTTCATTAAACCTCTGGCCATGTCTGTCCTTGATTTCTCTTCATTTTTAAGTGTTCGTTTCGCATTTTTTGGATTCTGAACGCATCTTTTAAAACAAGGTGGAGGCAATCTAATATCAAAGAACAAACAGGGAAGGTGAGGGTTAGGGTCCCTGATTTAGAAATCTCATCTTAATGGTGTAATCAATAGATCTGCTATTGATTTAATTTTCTGACCTAGAAATACCATAACTTACCTTCCTTTACTGCAAAATATTTGGAACAGCTTACTATTGCAGTCATCTCCATAAAGAAAATTGATTGTTGCAATGTTAGTATTTCAATAAATACTAAAAATTTAGTAAGTAGAAAATTGTGAAGTCTTTACAGTTTTTAATTATATTCTTGCACAGTAGCACACCACTAAGATCAGTGGGGTGCACAGTGATGCTCAAAAGTATTTGCTGGATTAACTGCATCTAGATTTAACTGCTTACATTGCAGTCAGGTAAAATGATGATGAGCATACTTCGTGTAGCTTGCTTACGATTCTAACTTCTTTGTGGAATTGCACATGCTTGCATATTTGAGCCTATGTAGGCGTGTGAGTGGTGCCATTTGCTTTACAAATGGGAAATTATGTTCTATTTCTGTTTCATAAGCACATTCAAATTTGTTTCTCAATAACAAAACTTAGATTGTCCTGTTTTAAGTTGTTTTGTAAGCAGTTAGTATTTTCAGTGAGCTGAGAATCTTGTGGTTCTTCTGTGTTCTGAATTAACCAACAAATATTTTTTTCCTTTCTCTATAGCTACTGGCAGTCTTTCGATTTAAGGTGTTAATACTTGCATATGCAATGTGCAGACTGCGCCATTGGTGGGCAATAGCTGTGAGTAGTAGCCAAGCGTAATGGAGTTTTAACTAGAATGGATCAAACAGACAAAATTTTAGATGCCTCTTAACGCTTGTATGTTAAGAATCATCTTGATGCTATATATTAAAATTCACTGTACAGTAACAGATTAAAAACTTCTATTCTGAAAGATTTTCAGCCTAAAGACAAGAATTTAATAGCACAGTGGGTGTGGTCCTTATTAGGTATCATGTTAATACAATTGAAGGCTTATTTTGAATCCAGTATGGATGGCTAGTCGTAACTGCTTGTTAACTCTGACTTGTTAATTAATGTTTGAAATATATTTGCATTTGAAATAGTGAAAGGTATTCAAAAAGAATTGGCATTATTGTACCAGAGATCCAGCTGTCCATTAACTCCCATGTTCTCAGCTTTTTAGAGTTTCAGGTGCCACCCATTGAGCACTAGCACCTGTATTGCTTCATGCTCCAATATAAAATGTTGGATATGCATCCCATCTCAGAAAGGAGGTTCGTGAGAACTGCAGGCAATCACAGTTGATTGGAGCAAATATCTTTAATTCAGCTGTGCTGTGTGGATGAGAGAGAATGCAAAACTTGATGACAAATTCATATTTCCACCAGTCAATACTGTAGACTGTAATAGAACAGGCATATTGCTGGCTTAGTGCATTGTAAATCTTAGCCTTTTCTTCCCTTACACTGTGGTACATGCATGTAGAACATGTTCATGTGTAACTTTCTTCAAGTGAGTCGCATGCAGTTTGTTTAGTAGTCTGAGATTAAATGCCACAATTTTTTTTAAAATTGTGTTATTAGCATGGCATAAATACATACATGATAGTAACTGCTGCTCTGATTGTTTAAGTGCACGCTTCTCAAAATACCTTACTCTCAGTTGTGTAGCTTCAGAGTATTTCTTCCAATGACAGCCAACCTGATGCAGTTGTTTGTGAGGTGGTGAGAGCAAACCCATCATGGCAGTGATCATTTAGATACATAAAGCTTCACTGGAGGTTTTGCAGAAGCAATTAATGTTAAAATCCTACCTGTGCTTACCAGAAGCTAGTTAGGTTCAGCTGTTATTTAAAGAATTGCTGGCCCCAAATGCACTAATAGAGTTAGAAACCTTGCTTAAGTGAACAGTACTTGTCCACTGCTTTTTGGTGGGTTTTTTTTTCAGATGTTCTATACAGCCTGCTATTTTTTAAATATGTCAGGGAGTATCAAATCTTCAAAGTGTTTAATTTTTCACAATATCAGTATGTGAATTAAAATATTAGTTTAAATTTACTCCTGCAAAGATGTTTTGTTATTTGAAATGGATCTTTTGATTTGGATGGTAGTGAAAAGCATTTGGAGCAATTGCTGTTTGCTTTTTCCCAAATACAGAGATAGATTTTTTAAATTTTTCTTTTTAAGGGACTTAGTGGATAAAATACTGCATCTTCATTAAACAGTAAGATAACAATTTATATAACTCAGCATCTGTGTAACATCTTAACTCCTATTGCTGTGTGGAGACACATTTGGAGATGTGCGTAGTAAAAGTTATCTTTATTATTGAGGTTATTTTAATAACACTTTGAAGTTAATTTTATCGTACTTGTTGCGTTTTATTAATCTATGATCTTCCTGTTGGTAAATATTTAAAGTTGCAACTGATAGATAATGGCAGAAATGAGAAAGTAAATCTATTTATTAGTCTTAACTGTTCTTACCCTGTCTCTTTCAGTTTACAACAGCAGTGACCAGTGCCTTTTTATTAGCAAAAGTAATTATTTCACAGGTATATATTCTAATCAAATGTTTGTTTTACTTTGTTGTTTTCTTGAAAGCAAGATTCTTCAGAGTGATTTCTGTAATGTTGTGTGGTTTTGTTTCCTTCAAGCTGTTCTCACAGGGTGCTTTTGGCTATGTGCTGCCCATCATATCCTTCATACTTGCCTGGATCGAAACTTGGTTCTTGGACTTTAAAGTGTTACCACAAGAAGCTGAAGAAGAAAACAGTAAGCTTTTGACATTTCCCCTCAATCGCTGCAGTTGGCAACTTTCGATCCCATGCTTTGTGGCAGAAGAATGCCTCTTTCAGCTTCTCAAAATTTGAAGAGCTGTGGGAAAAATTAAATCATATGGCATAATGTTTCTTCTTCTGGAAAGGAACATATGCCTTCAAAGAAGTGGGGTTTTAATTAATTTAGGAAGTTAAAAGTCACAAGGGCCAGATCAGCAATTTGTCAACCACTTAGGAAAGTATATTGTTTTCTGTGCTTAAGACATGAAAGTTTAACTGACTTGGGCTTGTGAAATTTTAATTTCTAGGTAGCGCATGGAATAAGTATCTGGTTTCTCTTTCAGGAAGAGTAGACAGAATAACTAACTCAATGTCACTAACTTTTCTTTTGAGGTGGAAAAAGGAAAGCTTCAAAATGCGCAGACAGAATGAGACCAGAGCAAGTATGAATTTCAGCTTTTTCAAGATGAGGCAGCAGGTCATCTGACACTCAATGTATTCAACTAAATGGAGGAAACCCGTTGATTTAGTTGAAAGATAATACTGCTTGAGTGGTGAGGGGGGAAAAAGGCATAGATTTCTGCTACAGGTGTTTTGTTGGTTTCAACAACAGGAGAGTAATTATACAGCAAACCTGATGTTTGTGCATCATTACCTGAAATACAGTCCGAAACTCTGTTGGAAGGGCATGTTTCCCTGTTAAGTAAAACAAAAATGGGGATGGATGCCTCCATTTATTTATTTTTTTTTTTAGTGCTCTTGAAAAGCAATCTCTTTGCTTTGATCCCTTCCCTCTTCTTTTCCACCACTCCAAGAAAGAAGTTGGTTAAATGAGTATGCTGGGTTTTGCCTAGAGAAAGGGAAAGTTAAGGTAACTCTTTTTTTCCCTTTTGAGAGGGTGTAAGGAAATACAGCTGCATCACACTTTTACCCCAATAGATTACAAATCTAACCAGTTCAGACCAGACACTTTTGCATTTTTTTTATACTGAATGCTCACGAAGTATTTGATACATACACATGTAAATACTTGATGATCATATTCATGAAACTGAGATATTATTGCTAAATCCCTGGGTCTTCAATCACACTTTCTTTTTCTTCATTCCTCCTGAGCTTGAAATAGATGGTATTTATTTAGAAATACATGCTTTTTGGTTGAACTCTACAACTGCTTGAAAGGAGGCCATAGTGAGGTGGGGGCCAGTCTCTTCTCCCAAGTAACAAGCGATAGTACAAGAGGAAATGGCCTCGACTTGCACCGGGGAGGTTTAGATTGGATATTGGGAAGAAAAGAGTCTTCATCAAAAGGGTTGTCAAGCATTGGCACAGGCTGCCCAGGGAAGTGGTTGAGTCACCATCCCTGGAGGCATTTAAAAAGATGTGTAGATGTGGTGCTTAGGGACATGGTTTAGTGGTCGACTTGGCAGTACTCAGTTAATGGTTGGACTCGATCTTAGAGGTCATTTCCAACCTAAACAATTTTATGATTCTATGATATTTACAAAACAGATGGGGTTTCACTGGAAAACGCTGATTTTAAGCAATTAGGTCAGACAAATGATAGGCACATTTGGATTTTGTTGTGGTGGTACTTATATAGTGCCTTATTTGCTTTTAAATCTGAGGCAGATAATGAAAACAGGTTTTAATAGTTTTTGGGTTTTGACCAGGTATTTTTCTCTTCTATCTGTAGTGGGAGTGGAAGCTGACTTTTTTCCATCTTACTGTTTTGTTTTTAAAAAACCCAGCCAAACAAACAAAAAAAAAACCACAGCAATTTTCTGCCTAATACAACAATGCTTGTAATTCGTAGATGTTTTGTCTGTAACTTAAAAAAAAAAAAAAAAAAAAAAGAAGAAATAAGGGCAAAACTGTCTTTCCACTGAAGAAGGTTTCCAGCTCTAAAAGTTTCTTTGTGTGAGCAGGATTTAAATCTAAAATCCAACCAGTGTGTGTCTTCTGGTATCTTGTGACTCATTGTTAAGTACCAAGACTGACCTTCCTCTTTTGGACAGAGTGGAAAGATAAGTAAAATAGGTGTCTCCTTTGGAGACTTTGAACTGGTTAATAAGATAAATTGGTATGTAGAAATAGTGGTTTGACTTGGAAAGGCGTTTTTTTAGTAACTGCTGGCTACCTCAGATAGCTCTCCTAAGTCAGTGAAACATCAAGGTTTTCTTCCCCCCCACCTCGATCAGTCTTCATGTGGCAGAGAGTAAAGGGTGGAAGTTCAATAACCTTATATTGACCTAAAAAGCCATCTTTGCCCTGTTGTTATCAGAAGACCTGTTGATGGCAATAAGGATGAGATGAATTAGCTTCTCACAACCCCTTTTGTTTTCTGTCCTGTATTAAACACACCATTTGATGTTTCCAAATAATTTTCCTCATTTTAGATGATATTGAGCCAAAAAGGATTTGAAGGTTGGAGTAACCAGGTATGTTGAGACAGATAGGTGAAAGCAAGCCATTAATGAAGAGTCTTATAGTGGCAAAGTGAGAAAATAATTTATTTAGGTGTGTGTGGCAGCTCACTGATCATTAAAAATATATTCCAGAGTTTTAGGTACCCAGGGAATATTGATGAATTTACATATGGCATCCTAGTCATGCAGTCCTTCACGCAGTAGAAGGAAGGATTCCTTAATTCATGTGGACCCGTACCTCTGTTTTGCTAGAGTGTGTCTCCTTAGCTGGCTGAAGTTGTAAAGAAGACATAAATGTTAAATTAACAGTTTGCTTTTTTTCTGAGGTATTTATTTGTAGAAGTAACTTGTTAGGATTGCTAATGTAATACATCAGTCTTTAAGATTCTTCATCCATACTTGATCTTTAAGATGCTCTGTGATAGCACTGAGGATTTGGGGTTTTTTGGTTTTTTTCCTTTTAGGATTTTTGATAGCACAGGATGCTTCTGAACGGGCAGCTCTTCTTCACCCAGGAGTCCTCTCTGATGGGCAGTTCTATTCTCCTCCTGAATCTGTAGCAGGTAGTTATGTTCACACCGTGAATGATTTTTTTGTATTGATGTTAAACTCCTACATATTTCACCCCCTTCCGAGGGTAAGGCGGGGGAAGGGTGAAGGGAAAAAATATCTTTTCCTTTTTATATTAAAAGTGTACTTTACAATCCTAAAATGAAAGATTCTTTTTTATTCAGTGATTCAGTTTAGTTACTACCTGTCAGATGAATTACAGTACGTGTAGTCAGCAGGGCTTCTGACGTATCCTGAAGGTGTTAAAAACAAGGTAAGTCTGAAAGAAAATGGTACTGCAACTGAAAGGAGACAGTTACTGTTTGTTTCTGCCCTTGATGATTCTTATGGGTCCCTTCCAACTTGAGATATTCTATGATTCTGTGATTTCTTATCTGCTAACAATAGTGTTTATGCAGCAGTGCACTATTTAGTGCTGCCTAAATGTGAAGCTTTACAGCATCTTAGGATAGACAGTGAATGTGAAGCTGCTCTAAAGCAAACTGAAATTTCAATCAGAGGCTTTTTTCCTTATAACAAAAAGCAAAAGCCCTCTCTGAACAAAGAGGGCAGCTGTGTGGATTGTTAACCTGTGCATATCATGTGCTTTGTTCTAGTTAAGGTAAGAGCCGAGTAAGCCAAAAAATAAATGTAAATACTGCAAAATTTAAGCATGTGTTTGCAGATATTTCAAGGAAATGAGTAATTTCTGTATGGTTTGAGAGGATTTGAGTTCCTTGAAGATGCAGTGTGAGCCCCCAAATCCTATGTCAGTCTAAAATGTAAATCTCTCCTGTAAAGCTGTGCTATATTATGCAATATATTTAAAATAATAATATCTGCTGATTGCTGCAGATGTGTTTGCCTATTTTGCATTACAGAGTTACACATATTGGTGATATTTTTGTTTAATGGCTGTCGCTGTGGTTGCTGAGCATCTTGGCATAAATGACTTAGAGCTCCATCTAGGGATGACAAAGCATTAAGACAATTTCGAGTATAACGATTCACAGTGAAAATGTATTTTAGTTAAAGCTGTGAGTCTGTCTTGAGGAATAATGGTTGGAAGTATTATACTGGATTCAGCCTGGGATTTTTTTGGCAATAGACTATATGGTGTGAGAGGAAGTGTAAGTGGAGCTAACTTACACTTAAGTGGGGCCAGGCTCTTCTCAGTGGCGCCCAGCAACAGGACAAGGGGCAATGGGCACAAACTGGAGCACAGAAAGTTCCGCTTGAACATGAGGAAAAACTTATTTACTCTGAGGGTGACAGAGAACTGGAACAGGCTGCCCAGGGAGGCTGTGGAGTCTCCTTCTCTGGAGATATTCAGAACCCATCTGGATGTGTTCCTGTGTGACCTGCTCTAGGCAAACCTGCTTTGGCAGGGGAGTTGGACCAGATGATATCCAGAAGTCCCAGCTCTTACCATTCTGTGATTCTGTAACAGGTTCCTCTTGGCAGTTTGGCTGTGTCAATGTTGCATGTCCAGTGAGCTATCGTGCCTCAGCATATGTGTGGTGACTACAGGTATATAGCTGGGCCATTGCTTTCAGCTTGTCGAATGGCTGCTTGTCACTGGGGTTTCAGTAACAGCTCTTGTGCCTTCTCCTAGTCTGCCCTAACTGCCAAGTAAATTTGTTTAAGCACCCTTTATGGGTATGAGAAACAAAAGAAACAGTCAAATTAGTATACTTGAACTAAAACACACACACTGGGAGTCACAAAGTATTCTGAAACTGTTAGGCGATGTACAGTAAAAATAGCTCACAATTAAGAATATTTTCTTCAAAATTCTGCGTTTCTTTCAGATGAGACAAACTATGGATTGTTCTAAGAGAGCAATTTTTGGTCAGTTTGCCTTATATATCGATTGGAAAAATATTTAGAGATAAATTATTCCCTATCATCATGCAGAGGGAAATAAACCTCTCTGCTGACATGGCAACATGTCTAAAAACAAATCTTTGCTGTCAGGAGGTGACATTTAAAACAGGCTCTGTTGAAATTTTCAGCATATTTATCTTTTTATGTCTTCCTTGGACGCACATGTCCCTTTTCCATCCACTTCTTTATATGGGTTGACCCGTCATCTTCAACATTAGACTTGGTTGCCAAGTAATCATTCTGGAGGTAACAAGTGGAAAATCAGCCTGGAAAGCGTACATTTCTACAGTTACAACTTGGGCTTCAAAATGAAGGGCAGGTATGCTGTTCCAAGAAAGCGAAGGAGTTCAGAGTAGTTTAGCCAAAAAAATCCCACATTTGTCTTTTTTTTTTTTCCTTCTTTGCTTTAAATTGATGGCAAAAGCCCAAGTAGGTCTCCCAGGCATTTTACCACAGACAGTTCTTTACTCACCCCCCCACCTGTGGGAGTCTTATTTAAGCTGCCCAAGACATGTATGGTGAAATGCAAGTGCTGATCATTCCCACAGCTGTCCTTGACAAGGGCTGACTGCCACCTCAGATGTGGGCAGCTTGGATTGGATCTCCAGAACTGCGGGTCAGCGCCGCTCACCCCGCTTGCTTGGCATGTGCTTGGTCTCCCTGAAACAACTGATCCATCAAGCCACCTTCCTGCAAAGCAGTGCCTCCAGCAGGAGCTGTTGCTGGGCACGCAGCCCTATGACCAGCTAAGCTTGCTTTTGGGCCTTCCAAGGCTTTGTCACAGATTGCTGAGAGCAGGCAGGGGATGAGGAGAAGAGAACTGGGCAGGGAGAGGCAGAGGGAGCTGTTTGATTTTTCGGCTTAGACTGAGACGGAACACAGATATGGAAGTTACTAAATTGTAAAGCAGTATTTCTGTTTGCTTTCAAAGTGTCTGCTGAAGTTGTCTTCCAAAGGGCAGGATGTAGAGTTGATTGTCCTGACTGTGTTGTAGTGAAAACTTGAAGCACTTGCTAACTGAATCTGTTGACAGGGTAGATATTTCAAGAATGATCAAGTGCTGGGTTTTGGGTTTGATAACTGTTAAAAAAAAACCTTCAGTGTGAAACATCCGAAAAGATAAGAAAACTAAAATAGAAAGTAAATACTTTTATGGGAAATAGTTGCTTTGAAGTGCCTTTTGATAAGCTATTACCAGTGGTGGTCAGCTGCTTTCTTTTTCTTTTTTTTTTTTTTTTTTCCCTTCTCTCAACTGATCTAATCCCATTCCTGTCTTCCTTTTCAGGATCTGATGAAGACTCTGAAGAAAAACAAGACAGTGAAAAACCAGTTGTATAGCATATATGAAAAACCAGGTAAGTTCCTTTGCATAGAACCTGAATATTCCTAAATTTTTTTTTTTTTTCCTCTTAGTTCCTTCCCAAATAATTTGAACAGTGGGCTAACTCTTAGGAGTTCATCATCTTTGAACCCAGTCTGTCTGTCTTGGCAATCTTCAAGCAGGAAATCCTGCCAGGCTCTTGAGAGAGTCCTCTGCTGCTGAGTTATGGTTAACCCAGGCCCAGGGGTCTGAGAGCTGTTCTGGAGTATAGTGTAAAAGGCTGCAGGCCCAGGATGTATTTACCTCTAGTATTTATTTGTTGGCTGTCCTGGAAAGGACAATGGTGGGCCAGATGTGTAAAAGCTCCTTTTTTTGCAAGTGGGGAGAGATATTTCTTTGGAGATGGCAATGCAAAATTGCTAGGAAGATATTTTCTTTTAGTTTATGTCTATGACAAATATTCTCATCTTGTAGATTGTATGGGCAAAACTACTTCAATGTTTCCCCTCCTCAGTCTCTTTAATACTACAGATGGGTTACACTGGAGCAGCTGTGTCTTAAAAGATTTTTGTAGTGTAGTTTGGTTAAATATGAGAGATGACTTCCTTATTTTGGAATTCATTTTATTTACTTTTAGAATTATCTTGACTCCTGCAAAGCTCAAGCTAGGGGGTGGTCTTAAATGTTCTTGAGAAGCTGAAATCTTCTAGTGCTCATCTGAAACAGGGGATGGTGTTTTCAGTATCTGTTTTCTTGACTGGCATCTTCATTGATCCTGACTTGTGTAATCTGTTACAGAAGGAAAATCTCTGAGGGAAGTTGTTGGGGTCTGGAAACTGGCAACAGAGTCTGTGGCTGAGTTGCTGGTGGAGCTGCTGACAGGAGACCTTACTCATTAGAAAGCAAAGGGAATAGTTCCCGTGTACTGTAATACCTCACAAAGATGTACCTTGTTGACATATGTATATTAGGTTGCCTCCCAGATGGTATGAAAATACTTGTCCATAATGTATTTTATTATTCAGTGATTCCTGAAGTTGATCTTCTAATGACTAGGTAATTACTGGAAAGTGTTGTCTTGTGTACCTAATCAAGAGACTGGTAATATAATGAAGTAAAACTTCTCTATGGTGGAAGTATATTTAATGATTGTTGGGAACTCGCTAGGTAAAATTGTTTTATGTTATTGCAAATTTGTCATTAGTTTTATGTTTACTTTTTTTAACTCCATGCATTTTCTTTTTTTTTTAAATGGATATGTTCACTTTCTAAAATAAAAATGTTAAAACCTGGGTAATGCATTATGATACCTTGTTGCTTTATCAACTGAAAATCTGCATGTAACACTCCGTTATTTCTTGTGGGGTAATGAAGTTTCCAGTTTGTATAGATTTTGTGCAAAATGTGTTACAGTGGTGTTTGGCTGCCTGTAGGGATGGAGTGGTAGCGAAACATCATTTCTTTGTTGCGTGTGTGATATCAAAAGGATGCAAGGAGCTTTTGTAAAGAACTTAGAACACAATTAGGGTTCAAATTAAAGCTCAAGCATTTTTTTTGGAAGACTAATGGCTTCCCCTCACACTGGAGCCTGTAGTCAGATTGTCAGCTGCAACTCTTCTTTGAAATGAATATCACATGTGCCTGCTCATTTGCTATCTGCCAGACTCTGTGATTAAAAGGGAAGGGATTTGCCTTATTTTAGCAAGGGGTCTGAGATATTACAAGACCAGTTCCTGCAGTAACAGATGACTAAGTGCTTTGCCTGTACATTCACATTGCAGCTACTGTCACACAACAGACATTCTTAAAACAAAAGGAGGTAGGTAACCTATATTGCTTTCAAGAAGCAAGCTAGGTTATAAAGCACTCACATTTCAATTAAGTTAAGCTCTATCTCCTTTCACAATTACTTAATCCAATTAATTTTCTTCAGTAGAAGCTGTATTCTGTTAGTGTATTGCTTAACAGTTAAAGCATGAGTGGAGATTATTTTAGGAACTTCTGTTGGGTTTGGACATAGCTCAAACAATTCTTTTTTATTCTTTGATCAACAGAAGGAGAATAGGCCATTTGCTGTCATGTTAGTATGATATTAAATCGCCTCTTTTTCTTTCCTCCATCAATATTCCAGCTTCATCCTCTACTAAGTAAAACAATATATCATGAGTGTTTTTTAGTTATGCACCACCCTATAACACAACTTGCTCAACATCTCTCAAAAACTTTATACAGGTCAGGCAGGTTAGCAAGCTGCAAAATGTTGCCATCTTCTGTGAAGTGTTTAGGAGGTAAAAGATGAGTCCTAAAAGCTTTGTAAAGTACATGTTCCACAGTCCATTTCCATGTTGTTGAACCAGAGTCAGAATCTTCATTCTGAAATACAGAAGGACAAACAATTAAACTGAGATTCCCTTTTGCTAGAGGAGAACACTCCTTAAGAAACTTCATTACGTAAGAATACAGTGATTGTAAAATTCTGCTAGTATTAAAGAAGTTCATTCTATACAGCCAAGTTAATTTTAAGCTCTGGAAAGTCACTGGCAGAATGGGCTAGATTAACTGAATGACTAAGCTGATACTTAGGCACAAGGAGACTATATTTTTAATTTATATGCATCCTTATTCTTCTATAGAAATTTATCATAGCTCAGCAGGTTAAAAAATACATCCCAAACTTAGAGGCCAAGGACTGTTGTAATAAGTACACTGCAATACCCAATGTTAAAAGGTTCTCTTAATACTTCAGAAAACTCAGGCCACATTGCTTCGGAATCTTGCCTCACTGCTACTTCACTTCACTGAAAGTAGAGTTGGGACTAGGAGTCCATAGCTGAAAAAAGAAGTTTCCTCTATGTTGTTAGTTCATGTGACTAGTTACATATTCTTGTACCTGAGAGGTTGTCAGGTTGGCTTCATCGATTATGTATTGCTTTCTAAGGGAGTAGAACATAGATAGTTCTTTACTTAGGCTTTCAAAACACTCCTTTTCTTCATCCCAGTTTACCTGTTACAAGAAAAAGTAGTCATTTAATAGAATCTGGATAGCAGTCAGAGACTTTAATAGAGATTCTTAATGTGGAAAAGTCATAATGATGTCTTTACCCTAACAGCACAAAAATGGCCAAGGCATAGAACAACAACAAAAAAGGTAGAAATGAAGGCTTTCAAAACAAAATATTCTCATTCAATCAGTAGTTACAAATGCAGAGGCAAAGCACAACTAATCAGTAACCACAGCAAAGGTGTCTGGACCGTGTAACCGTGCATTTAACCAACTCCAGCCTTTCCTCTGCAGCTTCTGATGAATGAATGATTCACTTCATTCTTTCCTAAATAGAAAAAGTAATTTCTAAATGAATAAAATCATTAAGAGAATGTACCTCTGTGGCCAAGCGAAGGATGAACATAGGCAGTCCTTCCAGCGGTGGAACATAGTTGTCTATCAAAAGTGGTAACCCAATAAGGTTTCCTTCCTGCAAGGCAACACTGCTGTTTCAGTAAAAAAAAAAAAAAAAAAAAGTTCTTTCTTGCAGCACATGCCCTAAAACAGTTACATATTGTAAGACTGATTCTTGCCTTATTGAGCTTTAGGGGTACCTGAAGTTACAAGTTTCTAAAGCCTGACGCCAGGCAGACATTG